GGCTTCAGCATCCGCCCGCCCCCCCCCGGGGCCACCCCCCTCCGAGCGTCGCCAGGCTGGGGGGGGGGCCACACGGTGCGGTGACCACACCGTGTGGTGAGCGGGTGGGGGTTCGGAGTGGCTTGGCTCGCTCTCCGAGGATGTCTCGGGCAACCGGGGGCTCCGAGGTCCCGAGTCCGTGCTGTGAGAGACCCTGCGGCGAAGCCTCTGGGGACGTCGCGGCCACCGCACGGTCTGTCACCGCGCCGCTTTGGGAACCGTGCCACCGCACAGCTGCCACAGCAGCTGACGACTGCGCGTTCTGACGTCTCGGCGGGCGCTCAGGCGGTCGACCTCGCCATCGAGTGGAAGAACGAGAAGGCCGCCGACGGCCCCGTCTCTGCTGCCGCTCCTCCTCCTCCCGCGTCCCTCTCCTGGCGTCTCCAGGCATCGAGGCGGCCAGCCTCTCGCCACCCTCGGCGCGGTGCCCCTCCTCTTCTCGGCAGCGCGCCCAGGGGGACGGCAGCGTGGCACCGCCTCGGACGTGTGCAGCTTTGCTCGGCGAGGGCCACTGAGGAGCATCTTGGGCCATGGTCGAAAAATGAGCGCACGAAGCCGAGCAAGGACCACGGGAAGTGGACGTCCGAGCGATGGCAGGGCAGATGGGGGTGGCCCTTCTCGGAAGGCTCGGAAGGCCTCTGGCCTTCCGAGAAGTTTTCTTCAAGGGAGGACCCCAGAATTGGCGTTTGCTAAACGGCCTTGGACGTTTACGTCACAGCCCTGCCCTGTTCGATTCCCTCTTTGGGTGCGTCTACTGGACGGCTTCGCTTGTTGGGGTGGTTCTTGTGGGGGAGGGTTTTCGGCCCTCTGTTTCTGAGCCGTCTTCGAAGCCACGGAGGGCTTCTCAGAGGGCCGCTGGGCTCCGAGAGAGGCCCCTCCGCCTCCCGAGAAGGCCCGCCCCCTCAGCGCTCCCCCCCCCGTGGGGCGCGTCGCCCACCTTCGTGGGCACCGTCTCTGTGGACACCTCCAGCGGTCTCGAGACCGCCTTTGCTTCGGCCCTCCCCTCCGTGCACGCTCGACGTGGGTGTGGGGCATAAGCGCTTGGGTGGTGGAAAGGTCGCGTGCAGTGCGGCGCCGCCAGCCCGACCGCCACACGCTATTACGGTTGAGTCGGGCCTGTCCCTCTTGAGGAGGATTCTTTAAGAATAGTCGAAAAATAGCCCGGGGACGATTTTTCTAGCATTTTTGATTTTTCCCGGAAAGGGCTCGAGCCCAGGGTTCTCTTTTAGTTGGTAAACCTGTCCCCCGGTGCCAACTTGAAGGAGGCCGGCGGATTTTTTCCCTGATAAATATCGAGGTCGAAGGAGGCCGGCGGATTAAAATTTGAGGATGTCTCGAGCGAAACGCTTGTTTTTGAAATCCCGATCGATAAATCACAGGGTGCGGGCCACTTTTTCGTGTGTTGAGGATGTCTCGAGCGAAACGCTTGCTCCGCAGAGTTTGCCGAGGATGTCTCGAGCGAAACGCTTGTTTTGCAGAGCCGACCGCGACGCGGAAAAGCGCCCCGCGCGAAGGAATTTCGATGATGTCTCGACTAATTCGTTTGTTTTTGTACGATTTCCTGGAATTTTGGCAGGATGTCTCGAGCGAAATGCACGACCCCACCCTAGCACGACCATACCCCAGCACGACCACACCCCAGCACGACCAGACCCCAGCACGACCCCACCCCAGCACGACCCCACCCCAGCACGACCATACCCCAGCACGACCACACCCCAGCACGACCCGACCCCAGCACGACCCCACCCCAGCAAGACCACACCCCAGCACGACCACACCCCAGCACGACCTCACCACAGCACGACCACACCCCAGCACGACCACGCCCCAGCACGACCACGCCCCAGCACGACCACGCCCCAGCACGACCACACCCCAGCACGACCACACCCCAGCACGACCACACCCCAGCACGACCCCACCCCAGCACGACCCCACCCTAGCACGACCACACCCCAGCACGACCACACCCCAGAACGACCACACCCCAGCACGACCCCACCCAAGCACGACCCCACCCCAGCACGACCACACCCCAGCACGACCACACCCCAGCAGGACCCCACCCCAGCACGACCCCACCCCAGCAAGACCACACCCCAGCACGACCACACCCCAGCACGACCTCACCACAGCACGACCACACCCCAGCACGACCACGCCCCAGCACGACCACGCCCCAGCACGACCACGCCCCAGCACGACCACCCCCCAGCACGACCACCCCCCAGCACGACCACCCCCCAGCACGACCACACCCCAGCACGACCACTCCCCAGCACGACCACACCGCCTTGGTTGAGTGGTTGCCTGTCGTCGTGGTTCGTGGGGTGTCTCGTGGAATGTTTCGCGGGGTGTCTCGTGGAATGTTTCGTGAGGTGTCTCGTGGAATGTTTCGTGAGGTGTCTCGTGGGATGTTTCGTGAAGTGTCTCGTGGGATGTTTCGTGAGGTGTTGCCCAGTTGGGTATCGTGAAAACGTGTCCATGCTCCACATGTCTAAATCCCTTTCCGGGTTCGTGGGTCCATCATGTTTGTTTTGAGTATTTGTGGACTACTTTACATTTTAAGTCCAAAATCCGCCTGTAGGGGGACATGCCCGAACGAATATCACGGATGCCCTTTGCGTCTGGGCCTTCCTCCCACTCTCCTCCTCTGCGGCCGCCCTCTGTCTTTCCATTCGGCGGCCAGCCTGGGGGGGAAGGGAGATGGGGGCGGGGGCCATCTCGGAGGGCTCTGCAGTCTCCCGGCCTTCGAGAAGTATCCTGAACCTCGACCCGAAGACACAGAACACTTTCAGAAGGCGCGAGGGCTTCTGAGAAGCCCCGCCGCCTTCTGAGAAGGCCTTTCCCTTCTCACCTCCCCCCCTGGGCGCGCCGCCGAATGTCGGTCAAAGTCGATTCTGGGGACCCCTCCCAGGGTCCATCCGACGTGGTCTTTCCCCCCCGGGATCGGGTTTCGGGGGGCCCGGGGCCCGCAAGCGGCCCCCAGAGGCCGAAGACGGTGCAAAGCCGCCCCGAACCCCGAACCTCGCAGCTCGAGCCTCGCAGTTTCTCTCTTCCTACCGCGCACCGCCGAGCTCTGCTCCGCCGCGGCCGCCCCCTTCCCCTCCGCGCGCCTCGGTGTGCCCCCCGTGGCCCCCCCGGCCCGCGCGGCCCGCCCGCCGGTGGGGCGCGCCAGCGGCCGCCGGCGCCGCGGACCAGGGCGGAACCTAAGCGGCGTTCTTCGTTTTCGTTTTGTTTTCGTTGTCCCTCGCTTTTGTCTCGACTCCGCCTTTACCGCAAAACGACATCGAAACGAAAACGGCCCACGAAATCACCCAAAACACCGTTTAGGTCCAGCCCTGCCGCGGACCAAGAGGCGCCCTGAGAGCCCGTGCGGCACCAGACGCGCACGGTCGGACCGAGGTGTAAGACCGAGGTCGGTTCGGCGAGGGTGCCCTTGGATCTTCTTGTGCATCCTGGGGGGGTACCCTTGGATGATCCGTGAGGGCTTCCCCCCCTGCCGCCGGCCCCCCCTCTCTCGGATAATGGGCAATGCAAGAGCGAAGTCATGAGGCTTTTGCGCCGCCGTGGAGCAGCGTCGGGACTTCACGCGAAGACGATGAGTAATCGGCAAGACAAATTGAGATTCTGAGGATATTGTTGAGTTCGGTGTTGTATTTCGAGGGTTAACAGGACTTCAGAGCACGCGATCCGGGCGTGGTAACTAGGTTCCGTCTCGGCTCCCCCCGCCCTCGCGCGGTCCACCAACAAGGAACAGGAAGCAGCAAGGAGCAGAATTGTAACAGTGGAAACTGGAATTTGGAACCGGTGCAGGGAACAGCAAACCCTGGTCCTACAGCCTGGTGGCCCCACAAGGGGGCCGGCGGATATTCTGAGTGTTTTGGCCGACGGAGGGTCTCGTGTTCTCGAAGGATGTTCGTCTTGCCCAGGTTCTTCTGGGAGGAGGTGCCCTCCGGGCCCAGAGGCCCGTGCCACACGAGATGCGTGCCGCAGGTTCGCGTCGTGCCGGCCGGCGGCGACCCCGCTGCCGGCGTCCAGCGTGGAACGCCGGCGGCGGCCCAGAGCCGGTCGGCGCTGAGCGATGTGGCGCTTCGGAGTCGGCCGGTCGTCCAAGGCGGAGCGATCCCCTGCGGGGTCAGAAGGCAACGCCGATGGTCGGCACGGCCCGAGCCTGCGGCAGTCCCGGCAGGCCTCCGCAGCTCACGCCCCGCGGATCCTGGCGTCAAGTCGGGCCTGTCCATCTCTACAGGAGGAATATTCAAAAATAGGACAAACATTGTCTGGGGACCATTCTTTGACTTTTTTTTGTCTGTTGTTTTTTGGGATTATTTTCATTCGTGCAAAATCCGCCTGCAGGGGGACATGCCCGACCTGCTCCTGGCGAGAAGATGCCCCTCGGCTCGTCCGTGCCCTCGTTCCGGGGGAGGGCTCGGCCGCTTCGCCCGCCGGCCGCGCTCTGCGGGGCGCCGCGGGAGGCCCACGGGCGCCCAGGGTGGCGCGCAGGGCGCCCCGCGCGGGGTCCACGTCGAGGGGGCGAAGCGCTGCGGGAACAACAAAAACGTGTCCGGGGGGCGGCCTCTCCGTGCCGAGGCGCCCGCGCACCCCCTCTCGGCCCCAGGGGTCGGCCCGAGCGGTGTTCTGGGCGCTCTCGTGGGCCGTTGCCGTGTCGGTTTTCCGTTGGGCAGCGCGAGGCGGACTGGAGGCCACGGCGCGGGAGAGCGAGAGCAGAACGACAACGAGAAACACTGTTTAGGACGATCCCTGCTTGGCCCTCGCCGCGGCGCCGACGCGCGGGGGGCAGGCGCACGAGGAGGTGCACCACCACTGGCTCAACAAGCAGCCGTCCGTGTGGAAGCGCCTCCCCCGCGGGGCCCCCAGACTCGGGGCTCCTCCTCCTCCTCCTCCTCCTCCTCCTCCTCCTCGATCCTTGTTCCTCGATCCTCGATCCTCCTCCTCCTCCTCTTCTTCCTTCTCCTCCTCCTCCTCTTCCTCCTCCTTCTCCTCTCGGTGGCGAGCAAGGGGGGGGAGTGCAATGGGAAAGGCTTTCTCGGAAGACGGCGGGGCTTCGCAGAAGCCCCCGCGCTTTCTGAGACGGTTTCTGCGTCTTCGGGGGAGGGCTCAGGAGACGTCTCAGAACCCCCAGGTGCTTTCCGAGCCTCCCAGAAGGCCCGCCCCTTCTCGCTTCCCCCCCTCGTTCGCCGCCGACACACCCCAGCTGTTCCGAAGCATGCGGCGTTTGTTGTTGTTGTTCTTCCGTTTTGAATGTCGCTGTTTTCTTTCACACGTTTCGACAACCGTTTTGGTTACGATCTCATGTCAAGGATCGGCCCGTGGCCCCCACCAGCCAGTTGTCTTTTCGTTTTCAGTTCGAACACGCGTAGTTTGTGTGCTGCCAGATGCTGCAGTGTGGCCCTACATGGTTGAGGTGTGATGCGAGTGATGTGTGAGGTGTAAATTCTGTGGCGCAATCTATGTGATGCACGGTATGAATGTGAGCTATGCGGTTTGAGCTAGGTGGTGCCACATAATGTGGTATGAGGTACGTGTTGCAAACTAGGTGGTGCAATTCAAGTTGTGCAAATTTTGGTGGTGTGAGCTATTTGGTGTAAGCTGTGTGGTGCGACCTAGGTGGTGCATCTAAGTTGTGTCAAGTCATGAGTTGTCGACTCCACTGCTCGCGCAATCATCACGCCCTCCCACCCACAATTTGGTTTGTAAAACTCACTCGGCGGCGATATCTTTGACTGTTTGGCCATGGTTGGCGCATCTGTGCGGCCGCACTGGCGCGCGCAAGCTCGCTTGCAGAGCTGCCAGCTGGGCTTTGCACAACCGACGCGGCCGCGATGGCCCTTACCAGCGCGTGTCAAAAGCCGCGCTGGCGCGCGGGCACTTCAATGCGAGTCGGTGGTTCGGGCGGGGCGCGGTATCATGATGACGTCGGCAAAAACGAAACGATGATGATGTTAACGAATGTGGTGGCGATGATGACGATGACGGCGGCAAGGTCAAAAACGGCTTCGGTGCTTGTGAAACCGATGACGATGATGATGCCCATATGTCGATGAATGTTGATGATCAGTGTGCCACGGTGATGATGGCGGCACTGGCGGCGATTGTCGACGACGATGACGTGATGTGGCGGCGCTGATGAGGGTGATGGTGAGGAAGTGCGCGCGCGCGTGGCAATCTACGTGCCGGCGTCCTGTTGGTCTCTCCTCTTCGCCCACCCTCTCTGATCTCTTGGCTGTCCTCCTTTTATTATCTTCCTGTCGCGCCGTTCCTCGTCCCTCAACTCAACCCGGCCCGGCATCATCGTTCAGGCGATCGCGAACATGGATTAAGGGGGCGTGGATTAGCGACGGGTCCCGTTTCCATGGGAAATCGCGCCGCCGAGCGAGGCGGCGCTGGCCGCATTTTGGGGAGGGCACCTCCCCCGATCCATGGATTTGGCGACCCCGCGCCTAATCCATAAATCGCTAATCCATGTTTGCGCGCCCCCGACTCGTTATCCTTTACTGCATCGCCGTCTTCTACTTCAGCGGTTCGCTGGTTCGCCTGCTGCTGGGTTCACCATCATTCGGGCAGCGACTTCACATTGACGCCAATTCCCCATGCCTGCTGCCATGATTGTTTCGAGTGGGGTGACAATGCGCCGTAGAAGGGTGATTGCGACGGCCATGTGCTGTCTGAGCTGAAGACGGCGCGGTGCCTCGCACCAGGTGTTGGCATCACATTCGGGCGGGAGATCCGGGTAAAAGGAAAGCCAGGCCCTGATGCATGACATCATCTCCCCCGTGAGCGGGGACCTATCATGATGGATGCGGCCGAACCTTTGGCAGAGCATCAGTTGCTGTGGTGAGAGAAGGAGCGGGGGGCGAACGGATGAGGTATTTCCCAGACTACGCGGCGCCGATCGACATCCGGCAGACGCCCGCCATCAACGGCCCGAGGACCCCTGCGCTGGCGAGGGGGGGAGGCCCTGTGCCGCCCCGATGCGCCGGCGACGCGCCGCAAGGGCGTTCCCGGCGGCTTGGCGCAATAGAGCCCCCGAAGGTGCAGCAGACTCGTACCGCCTCGACGCGATGGCGACGCCCTGGCGAGGGCGTTCATCTAGGAAGAAAAACGGCATAAACAGAAACTTTCGACAGGCCGCGCGGATTTTTTGGATCTGTGCTGGACCCCCCTCCTTGGCGCGCGGAGCACGCCAGGGGCGGCGTCGTAGGCGCCGCCAGGGGGGTCCAGCGCAGATCCAACAACTCCGCGCGGACCGTCGAGCATTTTGCGCTTGTGCCCTTGTTTCCTCAGGTTCAAGGGTGAAGGCCTCGCCGTGAGGAAGATGTTTCCGCTGGTTTCGGACCCCGAATTTCGGATGCAACTCTTGGGAGGTCAAATTCTGATTTAGCTCTGGTCCGAAATTCCGCTTAATCTGGCTCAATCCCGCAGAATCCCCCTTAATCTGGCCTAATCCCGCTTAATCCCGCTTGATCCCGCTTTGATCCGAGGCCCACTCTGGCTTAACAGCCCCCCAAATGGGGCTTAATCCTCCCTGGTCCTTCCGACGAAAACCTCCCAGTACTTGCCTCCTAAGCGAATGCCGCCGCTCGAACCGCGAGTGCAACAAGATCTCGACGCCGCTGCTCTCCGGGCCCAGGGTGCGGCCTGACCGGAGTCTCGACGAGAGGCCCGGCCGCGGCGGCGAGGGCCCCCTCCCGGACGAGCGGCAGCGTCGGCTCCGCTTCTCCTCCTCTGAGCTCGACGACCCTTCTCCGGGTCGTGCAGGCGAGGGGCCTGGGAAGGTTCTTCGCTGGTTTCGGGGCCCTCCCCGGGTCCAGTGGGCCGTGCAAGCACGAGGCCGGGCCGTGCAAGCACGTCGTCGTCGTCGTCGTCGTCGTCGTCGTCGTCGTCGTCGTCGTCGTCGTCGTCTTGGGGAAAGCCCCAGAGTCCAGAGCCGATTCTGGACGCTTCGCGCAGCCCCACTGGCCCATCCAGAAAACGATTCCCAGGCGAGGTGCCCTGCAGGAGTTGCCCTGATCCGGCATGTGTGGGAGCACGTGGTGGGATAAAGGCTGGGAAGCTGTCATACCTCAAGAAGGGGGAGCATGGAGGAGGAACCAGTGGAGGAGGAGGAGGAGGAGGAGGAGGAGGAGGAGGAGGAGGAGGAGGAGGAGGAGGAGAGGAAGGAGGAGGAGGAGGAGGGGGAGGAGGAGGAGGAGGGAGGAGGAGGAGGGAGGAGGAGGAGGAGGAGGAGGAGGAGGGGAGGAGAGGAGGAGGAGATGGAGGGAGGAGGAGGAGGGAGAGGAGGAGGAGGGAGGAAGGAGGAGGAGGAGGAGGAGGTGGAGGAGAGGGTGGAGGTGGGGGAGGGGGTAGTGTGAGTGGGGTAGGAGTGGGGGTGTGGTGGGAGGAGTAGGATTAGGCTGATGAGGAAAGGAGGGGGAGGAGGAGGGCGAGCAGACAGGCCAGAGGCATTTTGGAGGCCTCTCGGAGTTTCTTCGGATGTCTCTTGAGAGCTTCTTGCAGGCCTCTTGGGGCCTCTTGGAGGCCTCGTGGCGGTCCCGAGAGCCTCTTGTAGCGTCTTGGGTGCTTCGGGTAAGCCTCTCCTCCTCCTCCTCCTCCTCCTCCTCCTCCGCCCCTCCTCCCTCCTCCTCCTGCTCCTGCTCCTCCTCCTCCTCCTCCTCCTCCTCCTCCTCCTCCTCCTCCTCCTCCTCCTCCTCCTCTTATGGGGCCTCTTGGAGTCATCTTTGGGGTATTTTGGAGGCCTCTGGGGGCCTACATGGCGCCTCCGGGGCCCTCGTGGGGCTCCCTCGGGAGCTTCGGGGGTCATCTTGGGGCCATCTTGGAGGAGATCGATCAAAGGAGGGGCCGTAGTAAATCAGGGTCACTCCCCAGAAGGCCGACATGTTACCAAGACCATGATATAATCGATGATTCGTGCCTTCTCGCGAGGCCGTTTTGGACGCTCTGGGTAATCCCTCGCAAGGGGTATGGGGGAGGGGTAACCCCTCCTCAAAGGGGAAGACGGGGTGTTTGAAGTGTAAGGTTCTTAACACTCACGCCCAGAGGGCTGGTGGGATTAGGATCCCCTTAGTACAATCAGTGATTTTGACCTTCGTGTCGAAGCCCCTTGGAGCGTCTTTTCTGCCTCTGGGGGGCCTCTTGAGAGTCTCTTGGGGGCCTCTTGGGCGCATCTTGGGGGCTTCTTGATAGCCTCTTGGGGCCTCCTGGGAATCTCTTTGGGTCGTCTTGTGGCACCCTTGGGCGCCTCGGGGGACATCTTGGGGCCATCTTAGATGAGATCGATCAACGCAGGGGCCGTAGGAACTTAGCCGCCCACCCCCTAGGAGGCCAACACGTGGCAAACACCTCACTACATTGAGTGATATTGGCCTTATCGCCGAGGCCTCTTGGGGGTATTTTTTGCCCCTGGGGGGCCTCTTGGGGGTCTCTTGGGGGCCTCTTGGGGGCACATTGGGAGCCTCTTGGGGGCCTCTCGGGACCTCCTGGGCACCTCTTTTGGGCCGTGCTGGGGCACCCTTGGGAGCCTCGGAGGTAATCTTGGGGCCATCTTGGAGGAAACCGATCAAAGGAGGGGCCACAATAAATTAGGGCCCTCCCCCAGGAGGCCAACACGTGGCCAACACCTTAGCGCTATCAATGATTTTGGCCTTCTCGCCGAGGCCATTTTGCACGCGCCAACGACCCGCGAACCGCTCCGTCCAGGTCCAGGGGTTGGGGTTAGGGGGGGGAGCCTCTCCCTGAATTGGGAGGGCGAACTCTAAGCCACTCACGCCTAGAGGGCTGGTGGAGTTTCCATCAGTAGAAGGGGGGAAGGGGGGAGGATGGAGGAACTTCCTCCTGCTCCGTTCCCCCCCTTGATAGTAGCCACAAGGCCGAGGAGGTACTGCCACTCCTCGTCCTCCTCTTCCTTCTCCTCTTCCTCCTTTTTGATGTTGGTCAGGCCTACATCCTCGGATTGTGGCGCTCAAGCCTCCTCCTCCTCCTCCTCCTCCTCCTCCTCCTCCTCCTCCTCCTCCTCCTCCTCCTCCTCCTCCTCCTCCTCCTCCTCCCCCCCTCCTCATCCTGCTCCTCTCCTACCCTTCCTCCTGCCCCTCCTCTTCCTCCTCTTCCTCCTCCTCCTCCTCCTCCTCCTCCTCCTCCTCCTCTCCCCTTTTTCCTGACTCCTCCTATCTCCTCCTTACCCTCCTAGTTCTCGTCCCTCCTCCTCTTTCCGCACTCCTCCCGCGCAGTCCCCTCCGCAGTCCCCCCCGCAGTGAACTGCTCCTCTGCGGTCGGCACGACATGACGGGCACGACTCGGGACGCGCAGGTACCCCGGGGCAAGCGTGGACCCCTCTTGGGGTCACGTGTTGCAGCTATACCGCGACGTGTGGGGCCCCTCCACGCGATCGCGCGTGGAGGGAGGAAAGCAGCAGGGAGAGGCTGATGATGTGACTGATCCCCATGCCTTTCCTGCTCTGTCCTGTGCCGCTGCCCGTTTCGGCTCGCTCACTCATCGTTACCGCTCGCACCGACGGATGCTCGGGACGGGGTCGGCCCCTCGGCCAACCGTTCCCTGAGGAGGAGGAGGAGGAGGAGGAGGAGGAGGAGGAGGAGGACGTTTGTTGTTTGTCTGCCAGGTCTCTGGGGGGCGGCCTTCGTCGCCGCGGCCGGATTCGGCTCGGACTCCTGGCCGGGGAGCGCTCTGGGAGAGGTCCTGGGGTTGACTTCGACGACGACAGAGGTCGGAGGGCACCAACTATACACCAACACCGATCCTGGCCAGGATCGGTGTTGGTGTATAGTTGGTGCCTCCCTAAGAGGGAGAGGGGAGAAGGAGGAGAGATGAATGAGGGCCTTTCGCGGTGCAGTGAGGCTATCTTTCTTTGGGATGGGGGTGTGCACCCTCGGAACACGCGGTATGGGAAGCGTACCTTCACGGTGCGAGCCGCTGACCACGTTGTTTGATTTGTTATGTGGTGCTTGGAGGGCTTGTCCGGTACTGGGCAGTCCCACTCGAGTGTTATTCGTCGTGTCTCTGGTCGAAGTTCGGTGATCTCGACTCCAGAGAGTTTGTTGAAACCCACGATGTCCATCCAAAACCAACCACCACATGGACGGCTGGTTTGTCCGTGATGTATGACGGCAGTGGCTTGCTCGCGGTGGGAGCGTGATGTAACGGCGGGCGTTGCGATCGAGGTGGTGCCCCGACGATGACCATGCCGCAGATTCGAATCGGTCTCGTTCGCAGAAGGTCGAAGCGGCTCAGTTTATGCACCACGTCGTTTGGGAGGCCCAGGGGCCAACGGACTCAGATCTCGGCGAGGGAGTTCGATGTATGGGCGCTTCAGAAGCTTGGGAGGCCGGGGCGTCCCCGCTCCGAGAACTTTGGTCGACCAGGCGACGCGGTATATGCTTCACGTCGCTCGCCCCTCCAAAATACAGCTTGCTTGAGCATTGTGATTTCCAGTGCGTGTCTACAACAATCGTCGTCGTCGTCCTCCTCCTCTTCGTTTTCCTCGTCCTCCACCTCCGCCTCCGCCTCCTCCTCCTCCTTCTCCCCCTCCTCCTCCCCCTCCTCCTCCTCTTCCCTCTTGCTCCCTGGGTGGCCGCGAGCTGCGCGGATGTCGTCGTCGTCGTCGCCGTCGTCGCCGTCGCCGTCGCCGTCGTCGTCGCGGTCGCCGTCGCCGTCGCCGCCGTCGCTTCCATCGCTATCACCGTCGTCGTTACCGTCGTCGTCGTCGTCGTCGTCGTCGCCGTCGTCGCCGTCGTCGAGCGTCCAGCGTCCAGCTTGGAGCGTCGAGCGTCGAACGTCGAACGTCGTTGCCGTCGTTGCCGTCGTTGCCGCTGCCGACGAGCGTTGAACGTCGAGCGTCGAGCGTCGAGCGTCGAGCTTCGCCGCCGTGGCGCGCGGTGGGGCGAGGAGCGGCTGCCAGCTGACGCCTGGCGAGGTCTTCCGGGTGTCGAAGGCGCGGGTCGCGCGGCCGGGGCGGCCGCCGCCATGCTGATGATGATTGTGGTGATGACGATGATCACGATGATGCTGCTGATGATGATGACGATTCTGATGATGATGCTGATGCTGCTGCTGCTGTTGATGATGCTGATGATGCGGATGATTGTGATAACGGCGATGCTGATGATACTGACGACGCTGTCGACGATGATGCTGGTGATGCTGACGATGCTGATGATGCTGATGACGATGACGACGTTGATGATGATGCTGCTGGTGATAATGATGATTCTGATGATGATGATGGTTGTGGTGATGATACTGGTGATGATGATGCTGCTGATACCGATGCTGCTGCTGATGAAGATGACGGTGGTGATGGGGATGATGCTGATGATGGTTTTGATAATGATGACTGTGATCATGCTGCGAATGGTGCTGCTTATTCTACTTCTAACACGGATGATGCACTTATTCTTATTGATGCTGGTGTTGATCATGTTGGTGATTGTGGTCACGATCATTGTGATGAGGATGATGACGGTGCTGATGATGATGCTGATATTTGGTGATGGGTGATGGTGATAGTGATGTTGCTGATGCTGATGCGGATGCTGCTGCTGATGATGACGACGACGGCATGATCGCGATCACGATCACGATCACGTTCACGATGATGACGATGATGATGATGCTGAGGATGATGATGATGATACTGATAATGATGATGATGATGATGATGATGATGATGATGATGATGCTGATGATGATGATGATGATGACGATGCTAACACTGCTGGCGATTATGCTGAGGATGGTGTTTATGATGATTGTTGTGATTCTGCTACTGATGATGGCGATGGTGGTGGTCATGATGCCGATGATGATGATGCTGCTGCTGATGATGATGATGATGATCATGATGCCGCCGTCGCCGACGACGATGATGATGATCATGATGATGCTGCTGCTGATGATGGTTCTGATTGGTATGATAATGACGGCGACGATGATGATGGTGATGATGATGATGATGGTGGTGGTGGTGGTGGTGGTGGTAATGATGATGATGCTGCTGCTGATGATGGTTATGATGTTAATGATGATGATGATGATGATGATGATGATGGTGATGATACTGCTGCTGCTGCTGCTGATGATGATGATTATGATGATGATGATGATGATGATGATGATGATGATGATGATGATGATGATGATGATGATGATGATGATGATGATGATGATGATGATGATGATGATGATGATGAGGATGATAATGATGGTGGTACTGATGAGGATTCTCATTGGTGATTGGTGATTTGTGATCGGCGATGGTGATGTTGCCGCTGCTGCTGCTTCTGAGGAGGAGGAGGAGGAGTGGTGATGTTGCCGCTGCTGTTGCTTCTGAGGAGAAGGAGGATGATGAGGAGGATGAGGATGAGGATGATGACGACTGCGTCGTTCGCGACTCTGAAGCCAACAGCAAACAGCGAACAGGAGGGGGCTTTGGATGATGATGCTGATGGTAGTGGTGATAGTGACTTGTGATGATGATGATGATGATGATGATGATGATGATGATGATGATGATGATGATGATGATGATGATGATGATGATGATGATGATGATGATGATGATGATGATGCTGAGCTGAGGTGCTGATGAGGCGCAGGAGGAGGAGGAGGGGGAGGAGGAGGAGGAGGAGAAGGAGGAGGAGCAGGAGAGGAGGAGCAGAGAATAGAGAGAGAGGCGAGTGGAGGAGGAGGAGGAGGAGGAGGAGGAGGAGGAGGAGGAGGAGGAGGAGGAGGAGGAGGAAGAGGCGAAGGCGGAGGCGGAGGCGGAGGCGGGAGGCGGCGGAGGAAGAGGCTCCCCCACTCTGCCGAGGAGGAGCAAGAGGCTCCCCTACCCTGCCCTCGCCGTGCCCCCCCCCTCCCCGTGGAGGGCGCCGGCGGGGCGGCGCCTCCCCCAAAAGGAGGCGCCTTGGGGCGGCCGCCCAGGCGATCTCCGCGGGCAGCCGTTGCGGCTCCAAGCTCTCCCGTCGCCAGGCGGGCGCGTCAAGAGCAGAGGCAAAAGGAGCGGCACGGGCACAGAACTTCGGGGGGTCCTCCACACGCCCTGAGGTCCTGGCGCTTGTCGATCTTCTCGAGCCGGGCGTTCTCGTCTCCTTTCGGGCCCCGCGGCCCTCACGGATCGATCCAGTGCGAAAGATGACGCAAAAAGATGGGGTCAAGGGTTCCGGGATTGGGCCTTTAGGGTCCTCTTCAGGGGTCTAGAGAGGCCCTTCGGGGCCCCTCCTCATTAGAGCCCCAGAAGGGGCCCTGAAGGGCCCCTCAAAGGGCCCTGAAGGGCCCGAAAGGTGCACCCTGCTTCCCCCCCTCTCAGTGGTCCCCCCCCCGTCCATGGACGCCCAGTGCCGCTCCTTTTTGCCCTTCCGGGCGCATCTCGGAGGCGCGCCGATTCCGCCACGGCCTCGCGGGCGGGAGCACACGTCCGCACCCACGGCCTCGCGGGCCGTTCCCAAGGGGCCGCGACCCCGTTGGCCCGCAGATGAGGGGATCGCTCCTTCGCGGATGCCCCGAGCGGAGCGTGCCCCGTGCGACCGCGCCTCCACTGGATCGTGCTCCTTGGAATCCAGGCCGCGAGGGTGTCGATATGGAGACCCGAGGAACAAACAATATGATAAGCATGAGAAGTTTCGGCGCTCCGCGCGGACCTCTGAAGCGCTCCATTTCTTGCTCCATCTCGGCACCCTCGCGGCCCAGATTCCCAGGGAGCACGCCCCCGTGGAGGCGCGGTCGCATGGGGCACGCCCCGCGCGGGGCATCCGCGACGGCGCGCGGGGTCTCCACGGGATCGCGCTCCTGGGAGTCTGGGCCGCGAGGGTCCCAGACCCCCGACGGCGTGATCTTCTCCACGTCGACCCCCAGAGGTTCGGACCCTTCCCCGGGACCAGCTCTTCGTCCCGACTCGTCTCTTGACTCGGGGGCGGAAAAGAGGGGGGGGATGACTAGGGGGGTGTGGATATCATGGCGGGGGCCATGATATTTCCCCAGATCTCATGGCGCCTCTTCTTATTTCATTACGTCCCTGGCCCCCCCGCTGGGCCGCGCACATGCCGCCGGTCATGAGTTGCCCCCCCCCCCCCCCTCTTGGACGCCCCCCTCTTGGCCGCTTCCGATTGACGGCCCCGGGGGCCCGGGAAGGGCCAAGAACGAAAAGCTTCCCGTCGTGATTCCCATCCAGAGTTATGATATTCCAACCTACTGTAGCCTTAATCTCCAGAAAGAATTTCGAGCACCAGGAAAGTACCGAAATTGGAGGGTTTTCACGTGTCGGGCCCTGGGAGGCGACACTCGTTGGACACTGCCGATATTCTTCTGGGGGCTCGAAATGATTTCTGGGATGTGCTCCTTAAGTGCGATGGGAACAGCATACGTCCACAGCGCGAGGAGGTCTGGGAGGGCATCGCCATGGACACGCCGGCGGCTCGCGACCTGCCCCCCGCCGCGCGCGCTGCCGCGGCGAGGAGCCCCGGCGGGCGCCCGCCGGCCGCGCGCCCGGGGCGGGGGCCGCGGCCGGAGGCCCTGCGGTTAGGTCGGGCGTGCCCTCCTGCGGGCGGATCTTCGGCACGAGCGAGATGGGTACGGAAGGAGTGGGTGCGATGCCCAAAGCAGCAGTTCCTGTTCATTGTGACCAGGGCTCGCTGTCCGCGCCGCCGCGGCCTGTGTCCATTTGAGGCAGAAGGCCGCCTGCCCAACAGCGGCCGCTGTTGGTTTGGGGCAACATTTGTTGTTGGGCATTGTACCCATTTTTTCTGTGCCCATTTCGGGCGTTCACAGATCTTGAGCGAACACCAGCAAAAACATAGCCCAAGGATAGTTCGGAGGTTGATCGACCTCCTACCCTGACACGTCGATTAAGGAGTTAGCCGTTTTCGGTTCGCGAGAGGGCGTCGCGGCCGTCAGTTTTACGGGTCCAGGTCCGTCGGTTTCGTCACTAAGGGGAGGTTTACTAAAGGGAGGTTTGTCCACCGCCGAATAGTCAAACATTGTCGAATATGGCCGAAAAATCGTCACCAGGCTGCTTCTCGACTATTTTTGAATACAGTCGGGGCGCTGAGGAGGGAACCCTTTTCGCTGGGGAGGGGCTCGGTGTTCCTTAGTTGTCTTGCCGTTCGCCTTTGGCCTTTCTTAGGGCTCCGATGGGACATCGAAGCTTAACTTCTGGGAAAAAGAGGCCTCGTTCCGTATTTAGGGTTCCTTAGGTCAACGTCCCTACTTATCGTCATCGCGCCGCGACGGGGGTCGGAGCGCCTTCGGCTCGCGGTGGCTGCCCGCGACGCGGGTCGATGTGGGGCTGTCGGCGGGGGTGACGCCCCCCGACGCTCATTCAGCAACTCGAAGCAGCCCAAGGATAGCCAAAAATTGCCGAGCATGGCCGAAAAATCGTCACCAGACTACTTGTCGACTACTGAGAAGACCTTACGGCCAGTGCCGCCGACCCTGAGACCGACGAAGATGAAAACGAGGGGGGGGCAGGGGTAGGAGGATGAGAGGGAGGTGGAGGAAGGGTGGGGGAGGTGGATGAGGGAGGAGGAGGGGGAGAAGGATGTGGAGGAGAAGCAATACAGACCACTTGTCGACCATTCTGGAAGACCCCTCCTGTGGAGGCACCTGCCCGACCTCGCAGGCCCTGCGGCTGGCCGCCGCCCGGGCGGCGCCGGCGAGGGCGCCCTCGCCCGGGGTCCGCGCGGCCCCCGGGGCGGCACTGGCCGCGGGCACGGTGCCGCCCGGTGCCCGCAGCTCCGGCCCCTCGGACGGGGTCAGGGCGAGGAGGAGGAGGAGGAGGAGGAGGAGGAGGAGGAGGAGGAGGAGGAGGAGTTCTGAGCGGTCGCGGCCTGCACGCACGTCGCACGTCCATCCCTCGGGCGGGGCCAGGGCGAGGATAGATCCGTTCCAGGGCTTTCCCGAACGCTCGGAGGGCGCTGCCGGGCGCTCTGAGAAGGCCGCGGCGCCCGGGACCTCCTCCAGAGCTGCCAGATCTCAGAGATTTTCGTTTCATCAGTGCCCGATGGTATCCTCGTCTTGCCTTCGTCTTACCCCCCCATTCCTCCCCCTCCGGTCCCCCCCCCCTCCTCCCTCCTCCCCCTCCTGCTCCTGCCCCTCCTCGTGCGTCTCGAGCCGATCACCAGGCGCATTCCACTGTTCGCAAAGGGCCTCCTCGCAAACATCCGAACAAGCACGTGTCTGCCTCGATGTAATGGATCGTGAACCCCCCTCGGCGGATCTAGGGGATTTGCCAGTACTCTGGATGAGGCAATAAGCCCCCCCCCCTTGGATCCGCTGGGGGGTTGGGCACGTGCTGTCGGAACGGGTGGAGGGGGGGTTGGAGGAGGAGGAGGGCCCGGGCCGAACAGTTTCCCAACGCCGCCTCCGATCCGAGTCGATGCGGGTCGATCCCCCGGCTGGGGCCGCGATTGCGATCCGACTCGATTCGGCTCGGTCCACAGGCATCGGCTGGGGCCAGCCGGAGCCAGGCGCGGCGATCCGCTTCCGATCCGACTCGGGCGATGCGTGGGCGATCCGATCCGCCTCCGATCCGCTCCGAGGTCGCGGTTCGATCCAGCTCGGGCCCGCCTGCGACCCTCCCCGAGGTGCGCCTGCGATGCCCCCTCCCGAGGGTCACGCGGGGTCTCGCCGACACCTCGGCGACACCGCGGGACGGCGCGATCGTGAGCCCGTGCTTCTCCGTCCCGCTGTCGCCGATGCATCGGCGAGGCCGCGCGGTCCTCCCCGAGGTACGCCGCGTGCTCGCCCCAGGGTGCCAACGTCGCCGCCGCGCCGCAGGCGTGCGGGCGCCGTGGAGCCGCTGCTGCACGGGCTGGAGCGGCACTGCCCGAGGCGGGTGCGCCTCGCCCTCGGGGCGGACCCGGAGGCGGCCAGGCGAGCGACGCAACCAAATGGGCGGCCGTTACAGGCAAGGCGCCGGAATGAGGACCGCTTTGGGTTCGGAAGGGGCTCGCTGTTCCCGGGTCCCTGCATGGCTGTGCCTCTGTAGCCCTCCTCGTGCACGCAGGCGCTCCTTGGAGCCAAACAGGGGCTTCGTTCCTTCCTTGGCGTTCCTTCTTGCAGCAGCCCGACTGTAAGTGTTCGATGACGGGCCCGTGTTGAACGCAACCGGAAGAGCGGTCTCCGAGGCTGGGATTTATACATCTCCGCTCCCTGGAGGATCGATTTTCGGAGACCTCGGCAGGCGGTGGATATGGACATGTTTGGGCCCCCAGGGGCAAAGATATATCCCGCCTGCTGGGTACCCAGGGGATAAGCTCCTGCTCGCACGGTCGTTGAGTATTCGATCGTGGACCCTCGCTGAACGCAGACATCCAGCTTTCGCGCCGAAGCGCGCCAGGAACTGCCAACGACAGCCGGAAACCGCCGAAGACCGCCAGAAGACCGCCGAAGACCGCCGGAAGCAGCGCTGGAAGACCGCCGACGGCGTCCTATAGGAGCGATGGGTATAACAAGGGGTCCATGGTCTGGAGTTTTTCCCTACCTATGCTCTGCCTAGAAGGGTTCTTACTCGCTTGGCTTAAAGGGGCGGGGCAGTGCAAACCGCCCCGGGCGGTTCCCCCAGTCCCCTGGGAGCCAAGCAAAACCAACAGCAAAGGTAAAAAGTAAAGCTCCTACTAATGTTGCTTTCCTAGAGGCTCCAACTCCTAGGTAGGGTCGCACTGGGATGATTATATTTCCTGGCGATGGCGGGCGTGACTGGGGGAGGGGGGAGGGGGCCAGGCATGCCACGATTCGCACTGGCGCCGTTCTGGGAATCTTGCAGAAGGGTTGGTCGATTTCCAGTCGGCGCCAGCGCGCAGCGTGAGGTGACCAGGTGGGTGGGCTGGGGGCGCGGGGCTGGCCACGGGCGTTCTCGCGGAGAAGGAACCACAACTGGCTGCAGAGGGTGATAGACTCGAGGTTCGAGGCTCTTGGGCGCTGTCGCGGAGGATGAACAAAAACTGGCTCCAGGGGGTGATCGACTCGAGGATTCGAGGTTTTTCCCCACATGTCTGATGGGGTGCTGGTTTTCTTCTCTCCCGCGTCCCACCCGCGTTCCTCCGCCTCCTCACCCCTCCTCCTGCCTCGTCGCGCCCGCGTCTTCCTCTCTCACCTCCTTCTCTCCTCTCCTCCTCTTCCTTCCTCCCCTCACCCACGCGCTACACACGCACGACACGTACATGAGACACTCGTCACATGCAGCCGCATTTGTGCACACACTCGCGCACACATCATACAACGCCAGCGCACGCTTAGCGTGTCGACGGTATCATACATCAGGACGTATGCGTCACATACTGGGCAGCCACATTATACGCACGTCCACATGCAGCCATCATACACATGCACAAGGCACACAAGACGCAAGACGCGCATGCAGACATACGCGCACGCACGCATACCCACATTGAGACTCGTGTCCACATACAGCCGCACACACACACATCGCACACATGCACAAGGCACGCAAGACACAAGCCACGCATGCGGACACTCGGACACACACGCGCACACACTAACAACGCCAGTGCACGCCTGGCGTGTTCACTGCATCACACACCCACGACGTATGCGCCACATACTGAGCGCCCACATGAGGCACACGTCCATATACATCCGCACATGCATCATACTCATAACACGTACTGGGCACCCACATGAGACACACGCACGCCAAGACACAGCTGCGCACGCATCATACACATGACACGCACACCACACAACACATGCGCGCAATATTCCCAAGGCGTCGCAGGCGAGGCACTTTCTCCACACCACAGTGTGTGCGTAGGAGGTGGTCCCTCACGGCGGCCCCTATGCGTGCCAGGGTCTGAGAGCGTGGCAGGCGTGGTACTTTCTCGACACCATAGGGGGTGCGCAGAGTGTGGTCCCTCAGGGCGGCCTCTGTCCGTGCCAGGGTCTGAGAGCGTGGCAGGCGTGACACTTTCTTGACACCATACGGGGAACGCAGGGGGTGGTCCCTCACCGCGGCCCCTATGCGTGCCAGGGCCTGAGAGCGTGGCAGGCGTGGCACTTTCTCGACACTGTAGGGGGTGCGCAGGAGGTGGTCCGTCACCGCGGCCCCTATGCGTGCCAGGGTCTGGGAGCGTGGCAGGCGGGGCACGTTCTCGACAACATAGGGGGTGCACAGGGGGTGGTCCCTTACGGCGGCCCCTATGCGTGCCAGGGTCTGAGAGCGTGGCAGGCGTGGCACTTTCTTGACACCATACGGGGTGCGCAGGGGGTGGTCCCTCACCGCGGCCCCTATGCGTGCCAGGGTCTGAGAGCGTGGCAGGCGTGGCTCTTTCTCGACACCACAGGGGGTGCGGGGGTGCGCAGGAGGTGGTCCCTCAGGGCGGCCTCTATCCGTGCCAGGGCCTGAGAGCGTGGCAGGCGTGGCACTTTCTCGACACCATAGGTGGTGCGCAGGGGGTGGTCTCCACTGGGGCCCCTATGCGTGCCAGGGTCTGAGAGTATGGCAGCCGTGGCACTTTCTCGACAACATAGGGGGTGCGCAGGGGGTGGTTCGTCACTGCGGCCCCTATGCGTGCCAGGGTCATCGCATGTTTCACTTCAGCTATCATCATCCCATACATAGTATGGGTATGTGGGGTTCCTCGGTGGCGTAACTGGGCGTTGTCGTTTGCTCTCGGCGGCTTTCCAGCCTCGGGGTGCCTTCCAGCAGCTGCGCCTCGCCGAGTGGGTTCGGGGGGTGCGCGGATCTCGTTCGAGCTGATGCCTTTCAATTAAGGGGCGACGCTCGGGGAGGAGGGAGGATGGAGGAGGGAGGAGGGAGGAGGGAAGGGGGAGGGAGGAAGGAAGAGGGAGGAGACAGGAGGGAGGAGGGAGGGAGGGAGGGAGACAGGAGACAGGAGGGAGGAGGGAGGGAGGGAAGGAGGAAGAGGTGGGGGGGAGGAAGGAGGGAGGAGGGGGGAAAGGAGGAGGGAAGAGGGAGGGAGGAGGGAGGGTAGGCTCAGGGGGGAGTGCAGCGACCCCCTGTTGCCCACTCGTCGCCGATCGGGGGCTGGTAGCCCGCCCTGCCCAGGGGCGGGCGGGCTCGCTTTCGGGGGCCTATCGTCGATGTAGCGGCGACGTATCGCCGATTCCAGGTCGATATTTCCCTGATCGGGAACCGGAGCGTGTGCATAACCAGTGGCGGGCTGTTTCTCAATCCCAGGACTTCGAGGGTCGGGGGCGACGTCGGGATGGTGTGGTCCGCTTTTCTTTGCGAGATTCAGTGCAGGGCCAGGAAAAAGCGTCAGTATATATTGAGTCCGGTTCCCTGCCCGAGCCGGTCTCCCCCCACCGTTCTCTTACAGCGACGTGGGCAAAGGCGCCAGCTTATCCTCAAGCCCCGCCAGCTCTGGGCGATTCTCGGTGGATCTCCATACCGATCCAGATGTATCTCCGGCCTGCCTTCGTCTCCAGGAGGAGGAGGAGGAGGAGGAGGAGGAGGAGGAGGAGGAGGAGGAGGAGGGGGAGGAGGAGGAGGAGGAGGAGGAGGAGGAGGAGGAGGAGGAGGAGGAGGAGGAGGAGGAGTCGGTGCGCCGCGTGAGCGGCCTGGGCCTGCGCCAGCCGCCGCGGAGGGCTGCCATGACCTCTCGCGCGCAGAAGCCCGCTTGGGCCTCCCTCGCTCAGGCTGCCGTTCTGGGAACGCCGCTTCGAGTGGCCGCTCTGCGCCGCTGTCCGCCTGGGGTGCAGCGAGGAGTCCGAGGAGAAAGGCATGTCGGCACCTATGCCACGGCTGGAGTCGTCTCGGGATCTTGGTCAGAACATGCCCCGTGAGAGGTCCGTGGAGCAGCAGTGTCGCAATTTTCCCTTAGTGCCCCTCCAGAGTCATCGGGATTTCGATGTGTTGCGCGCATATATATATATACATATATATTTTTATATTCATATTTATTTTATGTATATATATATATATATAGAAATGTAAAAGATAAATACCGCCCCCCACGGCCCCGGGCCCCACACCTCCCAGTAACATCTCGGGGACTCTCCCGGTACCGCTTCCCCGGCCTTTCCAGGGAGCATCCACAGCGCTCCAGGAGGGCCCAAAACGCCTTCCATGAGCCCCCAGAATTCGAAAGGATGGCCCAAGACGCTCCCAAGCAGCCCAAGTCAGCCTTCCGACGGCTCTCGAGGCTCCCAGGTGGCCTCCAAAAAACCCCAAGAAAGGTCCGAGAGGCGTCCCTGGACGGCCCGAAGAGGCCCAAATCGTCGATGTTCATTTGTTTTTTTTTCAATGTTTTTGGCTTCTCGCGTTTTCGAGTTTCCAACGGTCCAAAAGCGCCGAAGAGGCTCCCAAGACCGCCCCAAGACTACCCAATGGACCCTCAGGACGGCCCGAAGACCGGCTAATAAGGCTCGCCGAAGAGGCGCCCAGGAGAGCCCCAGACCACCCCAGCACATGCCCAAGATGGGCTCAAGATCGGGAGCAGGAGGCTTCCAGAGACCTCCGAGAGGCCTCCGAAACCACCCAGAGGCCCCCAACACACCCTGGATCCCTGAGAGGCCCCAAAATGACCCCGACGAGGCTCCAAGAACAGCCCAAGAGAGCTGCGAGAGCCGTCCCGAGAGAGCCCCAAGAGGGTCAAATCGTTGATTTCCAATGGTTTTCCAATGTTTTTCGCCTTTCACGTTTTCCCGTTTCCAACCCTCCAAGATCGAGGATTTTGGAAAAAAAAGGGGATTCCAAGAATTCATTTTTTTTCTCAAAGTGGAGCTCCTAATCGGGGTCCTACACATCCCCTGACATCTGGCCGGTACCGCGCCTCCCGGCTTCTTGGGGAGACCCTAAGACGTCGAAGGACAGCCCATGACGACCCCAAGAAGCTCCCAGAACGTAAAGAACGGCCCAAGACGCTCCCAAGCAGTCCAAGGCACCCTGCGGACGGCTCTCCACGCTCCCAGGAGGCCTCCAGAAGGCCCCAAGAGAGGTCCGAGAGGCGTCCCGGGAAAGCCCGAACAGGCCAAAATCGTGTTTTTTTTGCGATGGATTGGGCCTTCTCGCGTTTTCGAGCTTCCAACGGTCCAAGACCGCCCCAAGACCGCCCAAAAGACTCCCAGGACGGGTCCGAGACGGGCCAAGAAATCTTCAGAGGACAGCCCAAGACGACCCCAAGGAGACCCCAGAACGTAAAGAACGGCCCAACACGCTCACGCGCAGCCCGAGACACCCTTCCGACGGCTCTCCAGGCCTCCAGGAGGCCTCCAGAACCCCCAGAATCCCCAGGGGGTCCAGAAGCCTGAGGGGCCCGGCTAACGAACCCCGCGAGGCAGAAACAAAAAACAGCGCCGAACAGCGCCGAGGAGCTGGAAAATAATGGAAATCTCATTTTTTATCCAAGTTTGGCCTCCGATCTACTCTTGCACAACAGACCACAATTCAGACCCCCCTCACCTCCCCAAAAAGATCCCAGGAAGCCTTTGAAGGCCCCACATCGCTGAATACCTAAAGGAAATTAATGATTTCTATGTTTCCGCACTTCCCTTTCTATACGATTCCGAGGCTTGCGCAGGGCCTCCAAGGGAGTCCCTGGACGCAAGAAGCGACCAACATGATATAATAACATGAGTTAGCCTATCAAGCCTAGCTAGAACTTGAGCGCGCGCGAGGCGCGCGCGATTATTCTAGTATTTATGTATGTATGTATGTATGCATGCATGCATGCATGCATGTATGCAGATATGTATGCATGCATGCATGTACGTATGTATGTACGTATGTAGGTATGCCTGTAAATGTATTTACAGGCACATGCCATACATACATGTACACTTATATATGTAGATATGCCATATATATGTAGGCGTGTATATATATATATATATATATATATATACATGCATCGGTCGAACACGTTTACGGCGGCTCACCGCCGTTTATGCCTTTTGGAAACGCCCATGCGGCCTGACGTGGGGCGGAAGTCTGGCACATCGGACTAGGTGTTCCCCCAAACATTGCGGAACCCCTCGAGGGAACCCTTTGGGAGAGGAAGAGACAAGGAGGAGGAGGGAGGAGAAGGAGAAGGAGGAGGACGAGGAAGAAGAGGAGGGCCGTCTTTAGGGGCCGTCTTGGGGCCATCTTGGGCCGTCTTTCGGGCCTCTTGGGGGCCTCTTGGGCTGTCTTGGGGCGATCTTGGGCTCTCTTGGGGCCGTCCTGGAGCGTCGGAAACCTGAAAAAGCGAGATCGCTAAAACCATTCGACAACCATCGGAAAAGCTAGCCAGACGAAGGACCCAACCATATGCAGTTGCGAGAGCCGCCTTTGGTGTAACTCCCTGTGGGGCCACGAAACGTGTGATGGGTGCGCCAAAATGGGCCGGGTACCGCATGCGGACCCTGCCTCTGGGGCTTCTGGTGGAGCTCCCTACGGGGCCACGAAACGTGCGAGGGGTGTGGCGAAATGGGGCGGGTACCACATTTCGGTGGAGCTCCCTATGGTACCACGAAGCGTGCGATGGCTCTGACGAACTGGGGCGGGATCCATACGCTGACCCTGCCACTGGGGCCTTCTGGAGCTCCCCATGGGGCCACGAACCGCCCGATGGGTGTGCCCAAACGAGACGGGGACCACATGCGGACCCTGCCACTGGGGCCTTCGATGGAGCTCCCTGTGGGGCCACAAAACATGTGAGATGTGTGCCGAAATGGGGCAGGTACCGCATGCGCACCCTCCCACTGTGTCCCGTAGTGGAACTCCATGTGGGGCCACGAAACTTGTGAGGGGTATATAACGGCGGTTCCACATGCGGACCCTGTCACTGGGACCTGCGGCGGAGCTCCCTGCTCATGGGGCTACGAGACGTGTAAGCGCTGTGCCAGAATTGAGCGGGTGCCGCATGCGGACCCTGCAACTGGGGCCTTCGATGGAACTCCCCATGGTGCCACGAGACGCATGAGGGCCGAAACGCATGAGTGCGGACCCTGCCACTGGGGCCTTCTGTGG